GGGTGGGTGGGTATGGGTGGGTGGGTGGGTATGGGTGGGTGGGTGGGTGCATGGGTGGGTGTGTTGACGATGACAGAGCTGATGGGGAATGACGGAGACGCGGCTGGTGCTGGTGACCGCTGGATTTGGCGGCGACACTTTTCTGTACAGTGTAGACCTGCAGAGTAAAGACACACTACCGCTTCAGACGATTACAGTGGGCCGTCTGTCTACATACTAATTACAGTACGTTGGGATGCCTAGGACACAGGTGAAGGAACAGCTTTGACCAACAGTCGTAGTAGCACTGAAAGCCGTCAAATTTGCTTAGGCTGGCAAGCGTGTCCACGACAAACCAGCACAGCAAAACAAGAGCACTGTTTCGCAGTACATGTTCTCTCATATGTACCGGTCATGTGCAAGACGCACACGTATGCATTTCCATCAAACTATTTGTAGTATATTCGCGCATGACTAGTTACGGGACAGATGATTCGACATCTAGTGCACACCCAGCTGCAAGAGTGTATACATAATCATAGCTATTTATGTGTTTGCTGACTCTTCATGGCACACAACAACATGTCTAGTCAAATCTGGACACGTATGCCCTCTGACCAGGGAACCATATCTCTCATACGGGGTACCTTAGTGTCTGTTATCTTCACGCCTCCCTACAAATCCCTTCAACAAGGGCGCACCTTTCGGCGCGCTGGGCGTGACAAGCTCCCTCCACCCCGGAGCGAAGTGAAGCGATGCGCAGTACACACAGGTACACAAGTGTATCTACGTATATAGCTATCTGTTTACGTGTGTACATATGTATGTGGGTCTTGCTGTTCGAGCCTGTTTTGTCCCCGCCCCTCGATGAGCAGAAGCCTTGATGATGACCGCGAGGCGGGACACGGAGAGACCGAGAGAGACAGAAGAACATTGCACGTCTTGAGCAAGAGCAGAAACCCTGAACCCTAAACCCTACCCTCGAACCATATGCCTCGCCTGGATTGTCCGAGTGTGAGCGCCGAAACCCTACCCTCACATTCTACATCTGCAAACAGCAGGAAGGCCATCTTGCAAAGCTGCAGCTAGATGACCTTGTGCTCGGCCCAGAATCAGGATGAAGTTGTGGAAAGTTCAGGCTTAAGGCTTTCTGAGGGATGCAGCCGGGATGTACTTGAAGGCTCTCCTGGTGTCCAGATCATCTCGAGTGTGCCTCTCTCCTTGCTATTGCGTCGCTTGTGAAAGGGCTGGCTCTGGTTGCGGCGGTGGTGGTGGTGGTATGTGGTATGTGGTATGTGGTATGTAGTATGTAGTAGTAGTAGTAGCAGTAGTAGTAGTAGTAGTAGTAGTAGCAGTCGTAGTAGTACCGTCTGAGGAGGCGCAAATGCGTCAGCTTCTTGACGAGCTCGCCGAGAAGGCTCTTCCGCGCACGATTGCAAACGTCCACAGATTTGGAGACGATTTAGGGAACTTTCTTCAAATTACCTGCATAGATTGGCCTTCAAGACTCGAGATCTCCTGTGTGGCAGGCTGGCATGCGGTGACCCGTGGTGCAAGTGTCCACTCAGACCCTTTTGTGGTTAGATTCTGATAGATGCCGCTGGCAAAGCAGTAGATGTACAGTGTAGATTCGCGCGTGGACTAAATTGCACAAGAGGCCTAGAAACGTTTAAACGGTATCGAAACGTCTAACCGGTATCGAGTAAGCTACTGTAATGATGCTGGCCGCCAAACTGCGCTGCAACAAACCTGCCTCAAGCTTACAGATTCCTTTCGATCCCAATGTTATCCATCGGCACATGCTGATGCGAACTTATTTACACCATGTCACAGATGATCAGTGAACTGCCCACATGTGGACGTCTTCGATGTATGAGACGCGGTCCAAAAAGTCGGGTTGGGAATCGCCTCCAGTTGGTAGCATGCATTTTGTTTCTGGGATGTTTTCTGGGACGATGGTTGGCACCAGCCATTGTTTGCTCGTGCAGCAGCGGACATTGGCATGTCCGGAAAAGTTTCCACCATAGACTTAATCTAAGGGCCTGAATAATTAGAATAGGGTTTTGGGGCCCATTATGCTATAATCACAATCAGGAACAGACAATAGTGTATGATGTACTGGCCACAATCACAGTTTGCAGCTTGACCGGGAGCTTCTGAGCCTTTAGAAGAGGAGAGCCGGATGCCCGATCTGCTTAATATATAGAGGTCGGAAGACTGTAATTGTACTTTAATATGCCTCTAAACATTTCGAATCATTCAGCCCTCCGCACTGTTCGACAGCCATGGCACCGGCTGGAGTTCCGCCGCCTTTCCACCCGACCTGGCTTTCGAAAACCACGTTGCTTTGACGATGTTCTCACGAAGCCTCACCAGCCCATTTAATCCTCTCAGGCTTCCGGAATCTTATTTCTTGAAAACGTTTCGGGGTGTACAGGCGCCAAGACTTGTTTGTGTGCGCAAGTACCGGGAACGCAGTCTGTGTCTCGAAAAATCACCATGAATTGTAACATCTAGCCCCCGGAGCCTTCCCCGAGAATCGTCAGATCAGCAGAGTTGAAGGCATAGGCTGCTTGGAAGCGCGGAGTGATCGGGACGCCAGAGGGTGGCAGTAAAACATTATATTCAATCACGATGCATCCCCACCCCATCCCAGCCGGCTTTGGATGGCAGTCCTTGACACGCCGCTCAGGCTGGTCGTCGTAGAGGCCGATCGCTTTGGTCACCTGGCATCTTCTGTTCAGGACGGCTATGGAATACGGAGCCTAGGACCCACTAAAACTTCCGTACATCCGTTTATGTTATACTTGTTGTGCTCTACATTGGCGCCAGAGGAGGCGAGCAGGGGCAAAGCGGATCGGAATCGAACAAAGCATTGAGGCCATTTCTCTCGTTGGCTGTTAAGCACTTCCAGGCGACGTAATTAGTCGAATTTGTTTGGCAATACCCATAGGCCCCATAGTAGTTCCTTTTTGGGGTTACCTTATAGGATTCTACATATGAGCCCCAAAAAGGAACTACTTTAGGGCCTATGGGTATGCTTGTCTTACCGGAAATGGACGCACGTGGACAAACACCCTCAAGGAACTTGCGCAGTGTTAAGTCTTATGTTAGACGCGTGAAATCGCCCTTGACGCCCCAGGCGAGCAACCCCACATGTACGTGGTCGTTGGTCCGAAGAAGGCCAGAACTCGAAAATCCTGGTACAGGGACCAAGACTGCCATGTAGGCTCCTTCGTTGAGCACTTGTTTTTTTGCTGAGTTGCTTTAATAATTTAATGGGTTTTCCATGATGAGCCGTTTGAGCGCATGAAACCGATCCCAAACTGCAAAGACCTTCATACAAAGATGCACGAAACTCCAAGCTTGAGGAGCTAGCGGCGTGTTGGGGTTTGTCACGAAATCACATTGTCCCCTTCGTTTGTTTAAGAGAACCGTCACGGTAATCATCGTCATCATCAGACTACCAATGAATCATCACCGCCAGCGTTCGTTGCCGTCATCAAATTGACCATCAGGCAGCATCAGCATCGGCAAAACCATCAGTGCTTCAATCGGCATCCTAGCCAGCTGGAAGCAAGTATATGCCAGTGTCTACTTGTAGCAGGGCTTGCTTTCGCAACACATGAAGGAAACCAAAACGCTTCTGACGCTCGTCACATGGATGGTTCCGAAACCGCGATCATTTGAAATCAGGCGTCTTAAGACCACATGAAAACAGGTCACGTAACCACGACTGCAAACCGTTCATACAATGCTTGATGAGTGGCAGAAATGGGGGAATCATGTATACACTTTTTAGTGTAGGCATTGTTGTTTGTAACAAGCCAAAATTATTGCTACGACCTTCACTTTTACTAATTAGTTAATGAAATACGAACACGAATCCTGATTTTAATAACCCTATACTCATGCGTATACCAGTACGAAGACAGTCACTATTACGATTACGAAGGCAGTTGTCATCATCAGCGTTCTTAAGCAACCAGCGCAGATAAGAGTACAACCACCGCAGATAAGACTACTGCTCCCCTCAGAAGACCCATTTCCATTCAGGCTTTGGTCATCGATACCGGCTGCGACACGGCCAACTTTTGCGAGTTCCTCTGGAGCCTCCCCGGGTTGGCAGAGAAGGAGTTCCAAGTTGCCGGGTGCTCAGAGAAGTTTCGGACGTTTTAGGGTTCAGGGTTGGCAAGGTTTAGGGTTAGTTGTTGGTTCAGAGGTTGCGAGGATTCTAGAATCCAGTTGGGGCAGGGAGCCAGTGAAGAGAGTTGCACTCGCAGCCTAGGGTGCGGGATGTAGCTTCATAAGATGTGAACTGGTCTTTCAGTCGTGCTCAGGTCAATACGCACATCCACTACGACCACATCATGGGGAATTATGGCTTCTGTGCGCCTGGGGGACGCTCTTTACGAGGTGGCTGTCGAAGTCCCCAGGCCGTAGATCAGATGGCTTCACTCTTACGAGAAGAGGTTTTCCAAATTCTCAATCCTCTGGCGCACAGCATGAAGTAGATGCAGCTTGTTTTTGCAAGCCCATCCGGCCGAGGTATTTGTCAAGGCTCCCGGCGGCTGTGGTTGCATTAGCAACCCGGGAAACACAAGCTGAATGCAAGAAAGCCCCATGGTGCCGCCGCTTCCATCACCGCAACTACCTTAACAACCAGCAACGATGACGATGACAATGACGGCGGCAACGCTACTAGTGATGACCGCGAGCGACGACCATGCGGGAGCCACATGGATGACAGCAAACACAGCATCGACGGCAACAGCGCAAGGCAACCACATTGACATGTTCAGGGTCTTTACCGCCTCCCTCTCATTGTTTGTTTCTCTCTCTCTCTCTCTTTCCCTCTCCGTCTCTACGTAGCTATCTATCTGCTTATCTATCGATCTATCTATCTGTCTGTCTATCTATCGATCGACCTATCCCTCCATCTCCATCTGCATCATATATATATATATATATATTCATACGTATATGTTTACACATACGCATGTACCTGTCTCGGTTTCGCGCATTACCGAACATTTCTGTCCATGTCACCTCGCTCGCTCCGCCTTCGTACTTACTGTACCATAGCATGTATGCACTGTGTACCTAATATGTCCCACATATGCATGTATGTATACATGTATGTATTTACCCTGAGATCTAATTTTACACCCTTCGCTCTCGCTGCATGATGTCGAGCAATTCGCTTGTGGCTGACCGCCCAGGAACCGCCACTTCAGCCAAAACTGGCAGGAGCAGCAGTTTCGGGTTTGGGAGGGGTCGAGCCATGAGAGCATCAGCCCTTTTGGCTAGTTGAGGCTGTAGGATGCTTGGCGGATTCGGGTTCAGAGTTCAGAGATTATAGGTTGTTATAGGGTTTCGGGCAGTTGTCGCTCTCTGCCCCCGCCTACCGCCTCGACTAGTTGCAAGCCCGAGGCTTAGAGTTTAGGGGAGACCTTCGTGATTACTGTTGTGGATGGCAGGAAACATCGCTGCAGAGCATGGTCGGTGCTAAGATCTCAAACTTCTGCGTCACAGCAGCTGGAAAAGCATCGCAGAACAAGCCAGAACAACTTTGGCATTCTCTGAAGTGGGAGTCTTCGGAAGTTCGGTTTGGTGGGAGTTGCTCCACGGTGCCGGAACTTCGTGACCCGAGACTCCCAAGTCTAGGACGCATTGGATCAATTTTCCCAACCGTTCGGGTTTCGGGACACAGAAGGACTTGGAGGAGTAAATCTATGTAAGGTGTAAGCAGCCTTGCAAACATCACATCAAGCATGGAGCTTAAGGTGGCGAAAGAGTGCTGTGTATTTGTTTCCCCTAAGGACTGGTTGGATGAGGGTCACAGAATTTATTTGGACGATGAGACGCTGGGACGCAACGTGAGCCTGAGCTAGACGCTACGCAGGGCCATAGACGTTCTTGCGTTGGCTCCCCGGCATGAATGTAATAGTCTTTCGGTATGGTGCTTACTTCCACTGGTGCACGTTTCGGGCCGGTGTCAAAACGATCTTGATTCTGACGTTAAGGTCAAGTTGTTGCAAGACCAAGCCCTGACCCCTCAGGGCACACTCAGAACTCTAAATACCGATATGTTTGCACTGAGGGAAGCTGAGGAACCCGACTGAAGCGGAGTCATTGGAGGTCCTCCACACGCCTGGACACACACCAGATTCCATCTCTCTGTATCTTGGCTTTCGAAAGCTTTTCACTTGCTTTTCTGGCAGCAGTGTCACGTGTAGTCACGGAGTACACCGCAGCTCGATCTCGGCTACGATTTACGGCAAGCTTGGGCGCTGTGAACACCTAGCATGCTGGCACATCGGCTTTCGTCTGCTTTCCGCGCCACACCCAGGTATTACCCAGCCGAGAATCGAATATTCACTGGGGATCTAATCTATCCCGGATGCTGGGCTCGAAATCCTCATCTCTCATGTATCAAAAAGCCGGAGCTCCATGGCCATGCACCACTAGAAGTTGGTAAACCCAAGCCCCGCAAGCCCAGGAAACATCTTCCTCTTCCTCCCTGGCAGCCGGCTGGAGGAGTTTGACGAGAGCCTCTGCAAACTGAAGGCTTTCCTGGCCAAGAAGCCTGGAGGCAGTCGGGCTGGCAGGGATCTCACTCCTCCGGTATCCGAGTATGCTTGCAGTGGAGCCGTCATGTACGGCGTAACATCGGACTTCACGACTCGAAAGCTCGTGCGTTAGCCAGCGCAAAGAAACCCGGCAATGGATTCAACTCCCATTCTTGCAAACCGTGACAGGGAGAAGGCACACAGCACACTTGTCTTCGAGTCGACCAAGAAAGAGCCCCGCCACGGGGCAATCACGAATCGCCAACTTGCAGGGGCCCCACAAGTCAACAACACTCGCGACAAGCAGGTCGCTGAATATTTTGGAGAAATTAGAGTTGGTGCTGGTGGTGATGACTAAGCTCCTGAGTGCCCCAAAAAGGCTGACAGTTATGAATGGGTTAAGATCGCCTTTCCATCATGAAGCTTTGGTCAGGAGCCCTACTCAGCTGTGGCCACATGACACCAGCCTTGAAGGCAGGTTCCCCGAGTTAGTTGCCGAGTCGTTGTGTGTTTTTTTCTACGGTAGAGCAGAACGCTTCCTGGAGCCGTGACGGTTCCACGAGCTCTTTTCTAGGAAGCTTTTGTGTGGGTGGAGGGCTTAGGGCTTAAAGGGTTTATTCGAAAACTACATAACTTACCTGAGTGAAGGTAGGGCTTAAAGCCCTGCGAAGAATCTGGCATAGGGGCCGAATGGTATCTGCTTTGCAGTGCCTTCGTAGTTTGAGCTGAATGGATCCCCAAACCCTCATGCGATCATAAAGGCACCTATATAGGAACCAACATACAACCCTATAAAATCTGGTAGAAGACGTTACAGAATGCAAAGAACTGTGCATGTGCAAACCCGTTAAATATCCTGTCCCTTGAAAATTACCCCAGAAGGCAGACAAGTTGGAGGAACTCTACGAGCTGCTGGGAGCCTTGCGAAAAGGCATCTCGGTGGGACAACAGCCTCCACAGTGCTGTCTAGAGTCTCGAAGCTTTAGGGTTTAGAGGGTGATAATCATATCAGTTATGTAACTTGTGTATGCAGAGACAGCCCTGGACCCGTAGCCTCATCCCAAGCTGCAAAGCCCCAAGCCCTGACCATCGGAACGCAGCAGGGGAGGCCCCTGGTCGCGCCGAGGGCTCCGCCCTGTCTCCCGAGCCAGCCTCTTGGTGCAACGGTCCCCGTTTGGTTGTCGTGACACCGGGCAGGGCGATCGCTGGCTTTATGCTTGCAGGTGTTGAAGGGCAGACGAAATAAGCACAACGCATGTATGTCGGGGTGGCCACCTTACGCGAAGTCCTTCTAAACAGTGCCAGAGGCACGTCAGAGGAGAGTTCCGTTGTCCTGACAGAGCGGCAGCATTTTAACTTGTTGTCCGGAATAAAACTCAACTTCGCTTTGGCTTTGGCGCAGCTTGAGGTGACTTCCTTCCAGACGCCTTGCTTCACATTGATGTGTCGCACTGCAGACGTTCCGGCCATGGCATCAACGGAAGGATGTCGGACTGATGCTGGTGCAGTGCAGACGCTGGCAGAAGTCCAGGTCGATTTCCAGGAGCTTGTATAAGGCTCCAAAAAGCGCAGTTCTCGTCCTTTGACGAGCCTCAGATTCAGCACGAGGTCGTGAGCGTGGACCGAAGAAATGCTCCTGCGGCCCAAAGCATGGCAGCAGGATGCAACAGGCCCACAGGACCCTGTGAAGCACCGGCAGGACAAAAATCAGAGAAGTACCACAGCGACTCTAGTTCCACCTAGATGTTCGCACCGCATACCTCCCGAATGCCGGGACCATGAAGTAGCAATTAGTTGTGATCAGGTCACGTCTGTTCTGTACCTCCATTCAAACAGTGAGAGATAGTTTGTGCTGTGCCGTTCTGCATCCTGCAGCCATGTTGGCTCCTATTGCAGAGCCTAGGCTCAAGAAGCGCGCTGTGAGCAGTAATGATGACACGGATGAGGTAATGTGTGCCGGCCTAAAGGCTATCTATCACACTGAAATTCGAACTCCAGTCACCATCTGATTCCGGAAGCGGGAAACTCAATTTCCACACAGTCTGCAGCTTCCACACGTCGCACAGCACGAGCCTGGATGTCTCTTCACTTGCTGTGTTTTGGCAAGATAGAAGAAGGACAGAATGCAGGCGCGACCCGATCACAGCCACAGCCGGGTTACCACGTTGGTTTGTGTTTTCCGGATTGTGGGTTCAGGGATATTCGCCGAGGAGATGAACGACCCGTACATCATGTAGGAGCTCAGAAAATAGGGGACTGCCAGCACCCTCAGCCATGTGGGTCAGCCTTCAAACAGAACACGCCATTGTCAGCAGAGCAGTACAACATGTATGTGCTTAGGTGGGCTTCTTGCAAGCAAGCACGTTCAACAGTGAGCAACTTGGGTTTGCAGCTTACCAAAAGCAACCGTCTAGTCGCCTGGTGAATCCTGGCCATGAGCAAGCGGAAGCACGATGACTCCAATGGTCAAGATGGCTGGGACGATCTCGTGCTCGAGTTCAGCTCCGGAGATTCCATGCCAGTTTGCTCTGTGCCCTTGCGCATGTGCTCCCCAGTGTTCAACAGCATGCTTTCCTCGGGAATGAGGGAGGCCCAGCACAGGACCATTCGGGTGGAAGTGGCGACCAAAGAGGAGTTCGACTGTTTCTACAGCTTGCTAAAGCCAGGTGCCTTCAGCCCTGAGAAAATCACGCATGACAACGTGGATGCAATGCTCACCATCAGCCTGTACTACCAAGTTGGTTTCCTCAGAGATGCTTGCGAGGCTAAGCTTCTCCGTCTTCCAGCCACAGTGGATCGGTTTCTCCAAGCTGAGAAGATGGGGCTCAAGAGACAGCAGTCCCGCTGCGCCCATGAGCTTGCACAGCTTTGCACTGAAGAAGACTTGAAACGACTGCAAGAAGCTTCGTCTGACGCGCTGATGGCGGTAGCTACTGCAATGCGACGGTTGCTTCAGGAGGAGGGGTTCTGGACATGGGAGTCAGGGGTCGGGCTTCTGGGTTCTACCAGTGGTTGGCCCTTGCATTAGATGAACCGGGAGCCCTGAGGACGATATCGACCGCATCCTGAGGTCCGCCACGCTTGATTTGCGGGTCCGGCGGGGGCCAGATTGGAAGTGGCAGAACCAGGAGGGTGGGTCCCGGGGCCCTGCAGGGAAGGGATTGCTTATAGACTGATGGTAGGATATACCGGTATATATGTATACAAGTGTATATAGTAGTGAGTCGTAATACATTCCGTAGTATCCTCACCGTGATGATGACGATGAGGAGAATGATAGGCTCATTACCTTGGAGATCGCTGCCACTCATGCATGTGCATGTCGGCCAAAACGATCAGGACGACCAGGCGGCTCTAGCACTTGTAACGTAGGGAGCCGTCTTGTGCATGGGTCGAGTTACGGTTGAATAGGCAGTGCAAGCCTGAGTTCTTGGAAATGAAGTGGCAGACGTATCGAGCGTGAAACTCGGCGTGTCTTGCTTTGACCTTCCTGCTTTTCAGAAGCGAGTCGGAAGCGAGACGTTTCTCTTCCTAGTAGCACAATGAAAGCAGCAGAGGAAACAAGTAACAAAGACAGCAGAGCCTAGTAGTGGATATTCCCACAAGGTCTCGTGTATAAGCCACTGCAATTCAGTAGAGAACCCTAAACCTCAATCTTGCAGGACGGTGGAGGCTTTGGCATGACCGCCATAAGCGAGCCGGAACGTCCTCGCCCTCCGGGCTGGGTAGTAGTTAACTGGGATGACGGATCTACTGGGCACTACCGGGTGGGTGCAGAAGGCAAGTATGACCTTATGGTTCTTGGCAGAGTTGATGCGTTAGTGGTGGAGGGAGCTGGTGGTGTTGGAAGCCAATGCAATGGCCTCTACAACTTGAACGGGAGCTTCGCTGGCAAGGCAATGTTCAAGAAAGACGGTGGGTCTGCCATTATATACTTTTCAGGCCTGGCCCTCAAAAGTTTAAAAGGGCAAACACATGCCTGCATGGATCTTTCGTAATTATCTAGCTCGTCTTGGCCGCAAGGAAGTCCAACCCCGGAGCAATGCACAGTCGTGTACTCACGCCATGGTAACATTACTCCAACCCCAATAATCCCCGCAGCAGTCATGGTAACCATAACGGCGTGAACAACGAAGCCACCATGGACACTAAGACTAGGAAGGACCATTGCCACATCAATACTGGCTGAGTTGCAGAGGAGTCCATCGTGTTGATCCAGGGTTGGCCCTTGTGCTATTCATCTGGTAGAGCCGACGCGGGGGTTTAAGATGCAGAAACCCCTAAATAGACACCTTTTTCCCTGCTTGCCACTCCTGCAGGATGTTGGAAAATCAACTACCAGGCCGGCGTTTGGCTAAACGATTTCGCATGTGTCACCGTAGCTCACTATTCCAGGATATCTCAGGGCTTAGGGTTTAGCCTGCAGCTTGCCTGCTGCTGAGCACCGATCGCTGGCGAAGATCCATATAGCTGTCACCGGCATCGGCTACCAAACAACGACATCGTGTGGAGTCATGCAGCACTGCCCGCTGAAAGGGTTTCAGCAGTTCACGGACTTTGGAGAAAGAGATGTGCGTGGTTGACGCCATTGCTATCGCATCAACCTTTCGTTACTGTCACGTCCGGCCCAGTCGACGGAGGTGAATCTACGCGCAGTCGGGTAAGTGTGATGACATTGCCTGCACTGCTGCTGTTGTGAGATGGTGATCGGGTCAGGAAGACAACACGGGCAGGGGCAAGGAAGGAGCTTCTAAATAACAGGAACATTCTTTCAGGATTCAAGTGGGCTTTCAGCCAGAATGGTAATGCAAAAACCTCACAGCGAACTCCGAGCTGGAATAGTGTTGGGCGATAGAGCCTCAAACAACAGAGCGCAAACAAGCACATGTCCCGTCAAAGCGCGTCGCAGTATGGTTGGACTTCAATTTGACGTTCCATGTTCTTCGCCCGATGCTGGGGTGAAAACTAGAGTCTCTCAGAAAGCCGGTTGTGCTCGCTACATCTTTCGAGACAGACCCTGCGATCAATTTCTCGTTTCACCTCTGTTGACGCAAGGGCTAATACACAGATGTGCCTCTCCGCATTCGCTTTCGCTGCCTCTACACGTCCTTCAAAGTGTGGCAAGAACTCACCAAGCACGGTGAACTGTTTGCTGCCACCGTTGCAGTGTTTCTAGTCAGATCTTCGCAAGCCCTGTTCAGGTCACCAGGAAGATGTTCCTAAGTTTGAACTTGATAAAGGATGTTTAGTTACAGGCAGAATCAGCATGGTGAACGGCACAAATGTAGCAGATGCCGTGTGGTCTGAGTACATATGACGAAGAACTGGCGCTTGGACATGCTAGGGTGCATTCCCTGGTTCAAGAGTACCTGTGCTCAGTGCTAGATTTTGTGATTTTGGTCTTGCTCTGATCTGAGACCCAGCCGTGTCGGTCGATGTGCTTCCCCCATATGTCTTGGCAAGGACGCCACTGATGGCTGGTACTACTGCTATCCGAACTGTGAAGCGACCACGCCCCCGATCGGGCTATGGTCAACTGAAGGCTACGGAGCGGGGGCAGATCCTCCCCCGACACTGCGACTTCTGCAAGAGGAGGAGTCTTCACCACCTAGCTGACTGCACCTCGGTTGGAATTGTCTACAAAATATCGCATCAAACCTCGAATATTCTCCTAGGATATGAAGACCGTGGATAACACAAGTACGAATGCAGAACAAGGGGATCTTCATGTTAGGATGTTATGCCCCAGGAGCTTATAAGCTTTCTGAGACCTTCCGTCGAGTCTTGCCGGCTTTTCTTGCGGAGTTACAGGAGACACCCTAAACCCTAAACCCCTAAACCCCTAAACCCCTGAACCCTAAACCCTAAACTGCTGCCTTTGGCCGCAGGTAGACCTCCGCTGCAAGCGTGGCCAAATGTGGCCGCGCCGCGTGGCAGCGCAGTGACGAGTGGAAAAACGGAGCTGGAGGGCACATCGCGACCTCTCTAAACCTATATGGGCTTCCCGAACCCCAAAGAACCTACCTTTTTTAGGACTTATATAAAGGAACTATAATAAGGAACAATATACAGGTAGGTTATTTCTCAAGAGATACCTAAGCCCTGAAGATTCCGAAGCCTTGAAGTCGCCAAACCCGTGGTTTCTCGGGACCCTAAACCTTTGAACCCTAAACTCCAGATTGTCACCCCGAGTTTTATGATCACCAAGCCTTTTTGACAGATCTGGACCCATCTCAGTCGGCAGAATGCGGTTACCAGGTAAATGCAAATCAACTGCATTTGGCAACTGTTTTTTGTGCGCCAGTGCCAGGGGGCCAAGATAGTTGCACTTTCGGAACAGCGGGTCCATCAGCAAATGCAGAAAATGCGAAACATGCGGAATGCCAACAACTGCAGAAGCATGCAACAAAATGCGAAGTGACAATGCGCCGGAAACCCACACCTGGTCAAGCAGCCCCCGGAAAAGGAAGCCTCTATCCACTCTGATGCATGGGGGATGTTTTTGCTCCGCAGTTTGGGCATTTGAAGGGATTCGGGATGACAGCCCAATAGTTCGGCAACTGAAGCTTGAGTCGTCGGATCAAGGTGTGCCGGAGTATACCAATTAGAGTTTAGGGCTTAATTTAGTTTCTGGAAAACCTATAGGCACGAGTCTCAACGATGCTACTAATGAGGACATTCTCCCTGCGACAGCACTGAATTCATTAAAAAGATGCAGCGGCCTGTGCAGGTATTCGATGAAACTGGGTGAGTGAGACAGCAGGTGAGAGGACGAACCATTGCCGCTTTTCAAAGGCTTCTTCTGCATTGAGAAGTGCGTGTAGACTAGACGATACTTTTCTCGCAAAGTGGTAAGTCCAAGGTTGCACAGGATCTTCTTTGCGCAAGAAGCCTCAGACAGGCTTGGCTCGTGGCACTAATTCAGCATCAGCGGCAGTTGTGTCTGCGGTGAAGAGCTGCGGACTACTCGTGCGGGGGTCCAGGCTCAAGCCGCTGGTGCAGACCACGTCATTAACAGTTATATAAAATTACCCATTGAATCTTATTATGCATCGGCAAGGGGTTATGACAAGTTTCAAGGGATCCTCTGTGCTAGATGGGAATTGAAATCTTCGCCATCTTGTTGACAGCCTCAGGAGCAGCAGCTACCATGTCATGGGGATGTTTGACTCGCTGTGAAGATCGTCCTGTTTGTTCAGATGAGTAATCTCATGCAGAATTCGACAACGAGTTTTCAGCCGAGCACGAAACACGCAAGCCACACAGCAGGTGACCCAGGTCGTAGCTTCGTTGACTGAATGGCCTGTCCGAAAAGTTCTTATGCTCGGGACGGACCAGCAGCGTAAGACAGCGTAGGCAACTGGTCAGTTAGTTGCCCTGGCCGAAGACTGAGCTTGAGTTACGAATGTCTGACGTCTGATTCGTTATAGCATCGCGCATGCAACCGACGGTTGAGTTTCTGTTTCAAGACATGTCAGCACCAGAAGCTGCATGGAAGCCAACTTGGTAGCAGCACAGGACCCAAGGATGTTTCCGCATGAGATAATACTCGTGACCAGCTGGAGATCTAGTCAGACCATAGCGAACAGTCAAGAAGCTGACCAAGTACTGCAGACCGTGTCAAGAGTGCTCCGTCCCCAGTGCACGAAATATGCTGCACTTGTACCGCTTCAAGTTTCGGTAGTTCTGCCTGATGGTCGCATGGCCACCATAGCAAGCTCATGTCGGAGCGGAAGAGGCAAGGAACGCAGGCACGTTGCAGTCTCCAAGCAGCCGCCCTTGCTTGAGGATTGTTTTCGCTTAGACCCCTTCAGAGGATATAGAATATAGATGTTCGGAAAGTGGAAGTTTGGTGGAGGTGGGAGAGTGGTCCCTATAGCTACTGTAGAGCTCCGAAGTAGGCCAGTGCAGTTCCCGCAGCTCCCCACCTTCAGCAAGGCCTTGACCTCCTGTCGCGGACCTTGTCCGCATGTGACACATCTCGAAAGATTATGTAAGCTTCAAGCTCTCGGTGTGCTCCGCGAGCTTTCATTGCAGTTTAAGTGGTTCTTGGTGCGTCAAAACCTGCTTTTCCTCAACCTATAGAGGTCACCGTGACCGTGCCCGGCGGCGCACCTCCGGGGACGGTGCTGGCAGTACCGATTCGAGGCCGCACAGCATCAGCTAGGATTTAAGGCTTTGGATGTCGGGTTCAGGGCTGGGTTTGGTAATAAAGGGGCCAACATATTACCAATACTATTTTGGGGGTTCCTTATTATAAAAGAAGTATAGTATAATATACCCCAAGCGCCTATTCTAATTTGTTTATGGCCCCTATATTACCGGATCTGTGCTGCTCGCGAGCGCTTTTCGCACACATCTCAACTCTGCATTGGGGTTCCAGGGCAACCCCTAGGCCCTAAGCCCACAGCCTAAGCCTCAGCCCGGATAGCCCAAGGCCTATTAAACCCTAAACCCTAACCCCCCTAAACCCTAAATCCTAAACCGGACCTGAGGTCGATAAGCTTCGAACCTCAACTTTCATAGCGTGGTCTGGTCTAGGGTTTGGTGTTTAGGGTTTAGGGTTTAGGGTTTAGGGTGGTCTGTGGGACCAAAAGCTTAACAACTGACTTCTTCTTCGACCCTGCCCTCCGTCCGCCATAGCCTTTCAGTGCCATAAGAACCTCTGCGCCCCAGACCCCAGCATACTCGAGCTGATAACCACACCCAGTGTACACTGATCCTGCTGTAACTGTTGCGGCAGCACAGGAATACAGTAGCTTGCGCAAGACACTTGCCAGACCTAAACCCTAAACCCTAAACCCCAAAATGAGAAATCCAAGAAAAGCCCTGACAACAGAGTCCCTCAAGCTGGCAGACCTTCGTACCACTATCTTTCTGTTCAAAGGATCAGACTCCCTGAATCAATGGACCCCCAGTGCTCCCCTGCAGGTGGTGAAGATGTGCTGAAGGTCCCTGGAAGCTTTGGGATTGCATGGTAAAGTTGGATCGGGTTCGAAGGGATCCCGGCGACGCTGCTTGCACAGCTAAGCTTCAACCTTTAATGTTTTGCGGTCAGCACCGACGACGTTCTTGTATAGCAGCATCACTGAGACAGTCATGCTTCATCGCACTGTTCAATTCCAACCATGCACCCTACATCGTAGGTTTGTCCTAGCCAGGCGGGAGGCAAAACAATAACATATGTTTTGCTCTACACAAGTCGCGTTAGTCTGCAGGCGGTTCTTTAGCTCATATGTTCGCGCTCATGCGCATGCAATCCAGCATATGCAGACTACCGGAGAAGCAACGAAGACGATTCAGAGCGGTAGGTCTCGTCATCACCTTTGCATTGAAAGTGCATGTCAGGTTGTCGCTTATCAGGTTTGAAGCGGTATACAGTTCCAGAGTTCAAAGTGATTTCCGATCAATCATCTTGCGACTCTTGGGCTCCTCTTTCCAGACACTAAAGCACCCCTTTTTTATCCATCCACGTGGCATTCGTGGGAGGTTCGTGTACCAGACGGGTGTGGCGCAGGCGAGGAAGAGTTAACTTCGGGGAGGCCAAGATCACACTTAACGTTTTCTCTCTTCATGTCCCTCTTTGCCCTTCTCTGTCAATCTCCCTTTCTTTCTCCCGGATTGCAACAGTCGCTTATTGACGCAGCAAGGTGCGAGAACCATGGCTAGGCTCAGGATTCCCGGAGCACCGACACTTCCCAGGATTCGGGCACGGTTGAGTTCTTGCGCAGATTCACTCCTAACCGAAGCAAGCTTCCCGCTCATTTTGAAAGGGATTTAGGCGTCCTTTGGGTGGGTGCCTCTGAGTTTCTGACGACCGAAGCAGCTCAGCGGTAATTACGCTATTTCCCCTAAGCTTTAAGAAACATCCGAAGCGGTCGATCCAGAGTGACTTCAGAACTCAGCCTGGTTTCAGATCGGGCACCGCTTCTGTTTCCGATTACGAAATTTGTTATGCAGGTCCCAGGACCGTGTTGGCGCTTCAATGTGGTAGATGGTTTCACGCGTTGCAACCCAGCTTTGTCGGCGCTGGTGAATATGTTCTGCAAGTCAACCTTCACCCGTTACAGTATTATGTCATCATAGTTGAGATGATATGTTATGTTACGTTATACCGTACGATGTTGATGTTAATTATATTCATATTGCCTCATATCGTATTTTATTAAATGTTCTATTTTTGTATTATACTACTTATACTGTATCATATGATGCTGGTACACTCCTCTGAACTCAACGTTCCTGCCCCTACTCGTGCAGCTCAAACAGCTACCCTTGGCCCCGAAGGCTGCAGACCCGTTCACATTGCTAGACACCGCCATAGTTTATGTAATCAGTATACATATATATATATATATAAACATAGAGACAGACATGGATAAATAATATGATGAGATGATTCTGCATATATATATATACACACATACACATACATTTTACATATACATATGCATAATACATACAGACAATATTGGTATAGTAAACACGAAAACCCCTGGCCAACTAGCAGCTAACCCTTCGAACTGATTCCAGGCTCCACCCTGCTCCTGACAAAGGCAGATGGAGCAAATCAGCATCTTGCTGCAAGCTTTCTAAGGTTTATAGGGTTTAGGGTTTAGAGTTACAGACCTGTGAGTCCACGAGAGAGAGAGAGAGAGAGAGAGAGAGAGCGGGTTTAGGGTTTATAGGGTTATTGGCAGAGTCTGGGTTCAAAAAAAGGGGTTTTTCTAGCCAACATGCAACAGTCTAGCAGCCTAGCAGTTTAAAGTGATGCTTCTAGTGAGGCATGTACGGAGACACATGATCTACAGCACTGTCACTGTAGGCATATTCACGGTATTACATCAAACTGTCTCTCACAAAATTCCACGGAACACCGTACATCGAAGGTTTTACTATTTAATGACCTAATGTCAGCAGATGATGAGAGGATCTCAGGTATATATAGAGAGGATTAGACGCACATGACTGGACACAAACAGGTATGGCGCATGACCCGCCTAGTTTGGGTTGAACACAAGACGTGATGCGGGTTCCGGGATGATCAGAACGGGCTTTGCAGACTGTGTGCCTCGACATGTGGTGCTCTTCCAGACACATGTGCGGTTTGATCGACACCGCTCGTGTGCAGCTTGCATCGTCCTCTTCTCTAAGGTGGTCTATGTCCGTGACTGTGCTGCAGATGGTAGGGGTGTCTGAAGGGCTCACAGAGGTTTGCAGCCGGAATTGTTGCAGAATCCCTTGCAAAGGTCGGGATGATAGTGCCAGTCGAGGATGCAGAGGCCTTTGTTTCTCAGCGGCAGACAGTAATATCAAAGGCTGTCGGCCTGAACTGAACAGATGAGGTCGCCCTTACACTTGGGTAGTTCTCAAAATCAGGGTCCCTCTTTGGGTCCCCAACATAGTACGGCACCCTTGTAAAAGGGACCCTAAAAGGGACCCTGATTTAGAGAACCACCCACTTAGCCTCAAAGCACGGAAAGATGATGTATCATCAGCAGATAAATCTACACCCTCCTGTTCGGGATTCCTGGCTGAAACAGAAGGTAGGTAAGGTACGCGTGATCTGGGAATGCCAGGCTGAGGAAGAAGTCAGCGGCTTTGGTGAAGATGTCGGCAACAACACCGGTGTGAATGGTGTGGACGGTGCAGACGAGGTGGTTCGCATGTGCTTGGCACACGCAGCTGCATGACTATGTCTCTGTTTCTCGGTAACATATGTGTATATATATAACGAATGTATGTATACATACATGCATGCATCCATACATACATACAAACATACATACATGCATGCATGCATGCATGCATGCATGCATACATGCATGTGTGCATACATACATACTTACTCACTTATTTACCTACTTACATACATATGTACATACAAGTAAACATATGCAAACACATGAAAGCGATCCAATCCTGATCGCAACTGTTTGCTTCATGTTTGTGCAGACTCGAATGTCAGTAATTTCATGGCAGGGTCCGGTTCTTCCTAGCCTACATCTTACGTCTCTCCTCACAAGACTGTAGAAATGCGTCGCATTCGCTCCACATGGCAAACTACCGGTCAACGAAACTGCTGCTCCTGCCTACATGGCTGCATACAGCCAGCATTTATCCAGTAATGTTTTCCCAGCTCCTCTCCACTCCACATTTCCCAGGAGTCGAATTTTCAGTGCCTTGGAAAATGAGGCACCAGGCGAAAAGTTGCTAGTTCAACACCCCCCTCCAAAACCCATAGCTCCAAAACTCGACGCGGCTTACTGAGAAACTGTTTTGGTTTGCGGGAAGCCGCTTATGGACGATCCTAGAGTGAGAATACAACACTCCAAACTTTGGTTCGTAGTTGCAGGACATGCGCTCAGAAGAGCAGCGCCAAAAGGAGCTCGAGAAGGCCTATGTGAAAGGGCGTAGGAGTGATTGAGATAGGGCAGCGGAAGGCTTCGCAACGCCTGGGACTTAGGCTTGTGCCACTTGCGGACTTCAGGTGCTGGTTCAGACGATCTTGCATGAGGTTTTGCTGAGCTTCCAGCTGTGTTTGCAACGGCATGCTTCCATGCACGTGTTACGGATGTTTTGTTCAATTAAGCCGCGGGTAGAAACTTGATCACAGCCCTCTCAAAGTCTAAGCAGTCTAACCCCTGAACCTTGATTATAGCATGCCGAACTCTGAACGATAATCGTGCAGCTGCAGGAATGGATGCAGCAGCAGCAGGCTGGCAATATATTTTGCATTCTCGCTCGAAGAGTTACCAAGCGGTTGGCGCGATGCCCATCTCGCAGGCCGTTTCGAGACCTCGCCATGCCCTCGTAGTCGGTAGGACAAAGACAGCCCTCGCATCGAAAGCCCAAGCACCAACATCAGAAATCCGAGCAGGCTATATGCGAAATAAATCCGGAACCTTGGCAACGCCAGAGGTCTTGCAAAAGCCACAGGGTTTCTCAAGCTCATCAAAGCCGGTGTTCCATCAACACCTTTAAACGTTTTGGTGCATTTATTGCACGAACTCATCCCTAGCTCGAAGACATCACCTTGTAAAGGAGCACCTGCGTGTATATATGTATACCGTCACTTCTCCCCTAACAACTACGAGGTATAAGCGCCTGCCATGCCCATCTAGCATGTCTTTATTTTGGCTGTCCTTTCGGAGGTAACGTTCTAAAGAATCAAGCAGGTTCAGGACGTAACATAAGCCGCTCTGTTAACTCTACATGGACCGACCATGACCTTTGCGCAGGGTGCAGTTTCTGCTTGGGGTTGATGTGTGCCGGTTGGTCCTCAGTTTCACTCCTATCAGGCCGTGTGACCATGTGCCTCGCATGAATTGTCCGAGCTATGAGCGCCGAAACCCTTTTCATTGTGTTGGGCTTTGCCCTCGAGGCAGACCCGTAACCCCAAACCAAACAGGCATTTGAGTCCTTTGCGGGCACCCCAGAATCACGAAAAACGAGAACATATCCTCAGCAAGAATCTATTAACAGGTAATTATTTGTGGGTGGGTCCTGCTATACCTGAGCACTGCGGGTTATCCTTTGCGGTCCGCACTGGGGTCGCATGGGTCGCTTTAACATCGAGAGAGCCGTAGTATTGTTTGCCATCCGCAGGTGGGCGCTCAATCACCGGAAAAGAAACCCGCCGAACGGTCGAAGGCTTGACGGGGCACAAGCGTACCTGTGTATGCACGCAGGCAAGTTGCTGCTGCTGTTGTTGTTGGTGGTGGTGCTGCTGCCTGCAGTATGCTGACGCCGCGGCTGCTGCTGCTGCTGCTCGTGCTAGTTGTTTTGCTGGTGTTGGTGATGATGCTTTTGTTGGCAATGTCGTCGTCGTCCTCCTCCTCCTCGTCGTTTTGGCCGTTGTCGTCCTCCGCCCTGTCGTCGTCGATTTTGCTGCTGTTGTCGCTACTACTGTTCTGATTATTGCTTTTACGATTATTGTTCTTCTCAGTGTTCTTCATGGATCTTCATGGTGGAGGGGGCTCGTTGTATCGTTGTGGTTGTGGTGATGTTTGTGGCGGTGCTGCTGCGGCTATTGTTGCAGCTGTAAAACTCGGTTAGTATAGCTGTTTGATGCATGTGACATGCCACTGAAGGTTTGGTTGCTGTGTTAATTACAGATGTGGGCTTCATCTGAGTTTTGGTGATGCGGAGCGCGATCTGGGCTGCCTTCCGGGTGTCGGATCGTGTAAAGTTGTAAAGTCTAAGGCTTGGAACAGGATTGACCAGGTTTCGATTTCCGGATGGACTATGGCTACAGGTTCCTTCAGGTATGGCTCTTATACATGTGTCCGTTGTGTACCTATATACATGTATATATACTCCTATTCATACACACACACACACTCCCACATACTCCGCAGGAAAAAAGAGGGGAGAAGAGTGTGTCTGTGTGTGTGTGTGTGCGTGTGATGTCGGCATGGACAGGAGCCTGCTCCCGAAGAAGCCATCGAGCAACCTATTGAGCCACCCTCGTCCGCCTTCACCGTGACGTGGCCCGAGTTTGACCGAAACCAGCTGGAACCAAATAGATGGTGTCCTGCCACCCGTATCAACTGATCCATGAGCGAATAAGTTGCGAGCCGTGTGCTGCCCAAGACGAGTCATGGCCGGGTCTCCTTCTCTAGATGAGTATGTGGTTTTTGGCTCGGAGTAGGTGGCAGCCTCAGCTTGCAATGCATATAACTCCACCCAGGTGCGGTTGGAGACGACTGCGACCGTGGCAGCAGATTATGATTGCTGTTTCTTACAGTGGACCAGTAGGCATTAGGATAGGAGGTAGAAGTGCAGCTCTGGAAAGGCAGGTGCAGCTTGATATTTGCGGTGCTTGTCTGGCTCGCAACTGGCCATGCTCACCTAGAGCCGTCTCTGCCGTCTCTGCACAGCCGGCTGCGGGAGATATAGAGGCGGCAGATCATCTTCTGTCTTCGGCTACAAGTCGTGGTTCGCATGTCGTCCGGGTTGAGGGTCAGACAGTCTTCATTTGATGTGGGTGAGGTTGGCACCATCGACATCGTTGTGTCTTGCCTGCACGCACTGAGCTTCCAGCTCTACTGTCGGGAGAGAAGCTCGAGAGCGAGGAGACACTTCGACCTTGAGTTTCTCCCAAACCGGTTGAGCCGGGTTGCGCCTGCTTTCCTCAAGTCATCATGCTTTCCGAACATGTGATGCCCAAGCAAGGCTACAGACAACAACCGCTCTCTTGCAACCTAAACCTTGCGCCCTGAAGCATCCTAAGTCGGACTTGCACCGTGGTGGTCTACTGTGACACAGCTAGGCGGTGGGGCAAACCGCCCTGAATCCTAAACCCGAGCTGTCCCAATACGAATAGACTAAAAATGTCATAAGAAGCACTATTGTTCAATATTATGCATATGAGTGTTAATATTTCATGATATCATCATCATCCTCACCATCATCATCATCATAATCATCATTATCATCATCATTGGTTCGGGTCCCCTGTTTTCTGAAACCTTCAGGAAAATGTTAAGCAAGAGAGCATACGAGTCATCTTGAGTGGGATGGGGCAGGCCTCCAAGGTTCCGACGGTGGAGGTCAGGTAATGCCCATCAAGCCGCGGTACTAGGTTGGCTTTTGGGACATTTTTTATTTTCCTTATTTGGGTTTCTAAGGGACTCTTTATACAAATATTTTTCAGAGGGGGTTTCAAGGCCAACCCAGGGTATTCGATGGAGGCCTCTGATAGCGACGGATCAGGTTGGCACTTTTTCGGTGAGGGCAGTTTTGAACCTTGTCATGTGCATCACTGGGCCTGTTGGGGCAATGTGGTTTTGGTCCTCAAATCCAGCTTAGCTGGCCCCTACGCCCTCAAGCGTAAAGCTAAACCCTATACTTGGAGCCCACAATGCTAAGCCCGACAGAAACATCAGGTGCGACCGGATTGGGCTCCGAACGGTACCCGACGTTTTCTCGAGCTCGCCGCAGCAGGCGACACTATCTCATGTTGTATGGTTTACATATTACATATATGAGTTACATGTTAATTGGAAAGAGTCCTGGATTTGTGGACAGGGGGTTCATAAAGGCGATCCATCGCATCAACGGTAAACCAACGTGCAGGAGTTGCTAAGCAGTACGTCTTTGCTGACCCTTCTGGACATGGACCGACAACAAGAAGATGTTGCGACGTGAGCCTTGCAGAGGTGACTTTGATGATCGAGCATTCTACCGAGCTGTGCCAACTTGAATCTCGGATTTTCTGTTCATGTGAAAGCATAACCTGTGAGCAGATGCACATGTATAAAACTGTCTCACTCTCCTCACAAGAAGTCTTGTACCTCCGTCGTATGATGGTCTCCACCGCATGCATCAGAGGAGCCTACGCAGCGAAGAGAATAGATGTATCTGCAGCCCTTCAACTGCGTCGCTTTCTGGTCTTCGGCTGCAGCTTGCAGTCTCGTCTTACATTCTGTCGAGTTGTCTGCCTGGCATTCACCCGACATGCTCAGTCTCATAGGGATGCCTTGAACCCCAAGCCCCAAACCTTACCAGCGCTGCAACCCCGAAGCCCTAAACCCTGAGCCTGATGCACAACAACCCTGAGCCTGATGTTTGAGCCCTGGGGGGTCCCGCCCTACTCTCATTTAGAGCGACGACTACCTTAGCCTTAGCCTCAAAAGATTCCTGACCTTATTGAATGACCGACTTGCTTGGACAGCTAGGCGAGACGGAAGTCCTCAGCACAAGTTGAATATCTGTAGGCGTGCGTCGTGCAAGTGGGTAGTTCTCTAAATTAGGGCCCCTTTTAGGGTCCATTTTATAAGGGTGCCGTACTATATTGGAGACCCAAAAAGAGACCCCTAGTTTAGACAACTACCCAAGTTCATGTAGACGTCGCCCATCCGACCTGCCACAGGCCTCGCCTGGAATCCTCCGAGTTGTAAGCGCCGAAACCCTTAGACTACCCATAGGCCCCTTAGTCGTTCCTTTTGGGGATTACCTGATAGGGTTTAGGGTTTAGGGTTTATAGGCCCCTTAGTAGTTCCGTTTTAGATAGAAGCCACAACAAGGAACTACTATGGGGCCTATGGGTAAGCCCAAGGTATCGTTCAGTTTGGCTTGCCTCCCAAGCGCGACTTACCGGCCATCCCGGACCATGGCCATAGCTTGCAGTCCGACGTGATGTTGGGGTTCAGGGGTTAGGGGTTTAGGGTTCAGGGGTTTGGGGCTAAGGGGTTTCACATGGCTTTAAGGCTGAAGGTTTAGGGTTCAGGGTTTGAAGCCTGCACAGGATGTCCAACAAGCAGTCCAACTATCACCCTGTCTGGCCACGGAATCCAGTCCCAAGACTTTCGTAAGTTCGTCCTGCCGTAGGTATCACGCGATCACTTGTCCGGAACTCTCTAGACTCTAGAACGAGTCATTGGTTGGCGCTCGATCACTCCGAAGAGGCCCCGAAAAAGGAGTGCACATGTCCTTCAAATTCCGATTGCTGGCTTGAGGGTTTAAGCTGCTGTTGTCTACCGATCTTGCACCCCAGTTCGATGAAGGACGACCCTGCCACCGGCGTACCTTTCTTGCTGGGAGCCGTCGCGTTTGCCGCGGTTGGGGCGACACGGCTAAGCAGGGAAGCGTGCCAGCCACCGTATCACATGGGAGCGGCGATGAAGAGTTGGTAGGAGAACGAACGTTAAGAGCTCTTGCTGCATGTCATGATGGCATGTGCTGCTAATCTTGCTACTGAGCTGCTACTGGAAGCGCATCGCTGTGAACTTCAGGAAAACACTCGTCGGTCAACAATCTTCATCTGCACAGGCCCGATTTGCGCATCGTGCTTCCTGTTCCAGGGTGCAGGTGCTGATGGAGATGCTGTGGACACATCGACTCACTTTTGCTAGACTTATGAGTTGCCGTGACGTCTCTGCTGAATGCTCCGAATTACAGAAACAGCACACGACATCGTCTCTGTTACTGGCACCCTCGGCATTGTGAACGTAACCAGAACCTTTTGCACACCTGCATTCACAATGCAAAGCGCGGCACGGCCTCGCCAAATCGACGACAAGGTTCCCCAAATAGGTTCCCAGGCCTTCCAAAATCCCTTAAATACAGCATATTTAATTTAAATTGAATCAGGTGAGGGCTCCCATTACGATTCAAATATGTTCGTTAGTTAAGGGGTCTTGGGAGGGCTGGGTTAGGCATACTTACGGGCTTATACATTCCCCTGCTTCAGATACTGGACATACACGTTGGATGACTGGACAGGGTTGCGAAGCCAGGCGACATGTCTCACTGCCTGGGCCGAGAGTCTTGGGACCCTTGGCCCGCACTTGCTCTGAACTTGGTAATCGTAGCGATTTAGGATTTAGGGTTGAGGACACCTGTGCTTGGGAGAGAGAGAGAGAGATTGAGCGAAAGAGAGAGAGAGAGAGACGTCCAGGGGTCCTACAAGTACAAATGGATTACACATACAGTTCGTATCGTATTCAAACTGGGCGCACGACATGCTCTGGAAGCGCAGTGGTCAGGCACTAACAAGTGTAGTAAAAGTACATTCACACAGAATGAGATTATAAGTAACTTGGACCTCAAAGTAGACCAAAGCCGCAGCGACAGTATTGCACAATTTCTTCTCTGGCCCGCCAGAACGCAGCTGCGTCCGGTCAGGTAGCCAGGATTACCAGAGCTTTTGGAACATGTGGTTCTCCAGCTCTCGCTGAACCCTGAAATCAAAGATCTATAGTAGGCCGTACCCAAGACTCCGATCAATCAGGGCCCTTGCTCTCCCTTTGCCTTGCCTCTGGCCCCAACACGTCAGGTCGGACCAGCCGCAGAAAAGCCCTAGAGCAACGAAGCCCTCGACACCAAGGCCTTCACGTCCTAAACACCCGAAAGACTTAACCACCAGATCCTTGAGCCCTTAGCCCGTACTGAACCGTATCTTGAACCTTCTGTCGGCGGTCACGAGCATGTCGTGCCTCTACCCTTTTCCAAGAGTTTAGGGCGGCGGTCAGAATTCAGTCGCAATGCTTAGGGCTGAAGACCTTGGTCGAGCCGTGCCAGATGGTGAGCGTGCCGAAGCTAGATGTTTTGCCGTCTGTGTCGCCGGATTACGCCCTCCATGTCAAGCACGAGCAGAATAAAGTCCCAAGCGAAGTCCAAAGACTTAGGAGACACCTATTGGGGCCGTCGCCGAATCATCATTGGATGTTCTGGACAGCCCTGCCCAGCTGTGTTGCGGCCATCCTTAGCCCAGTGCTAGCTGTCGTTAGTTTGGATTCATTTGCGCATGCATGTTTGTAATGTGTGTGTGTGTGTGTATATATATATATATAAATACGGTGAGCCACAGTGCTTGTATGTGGGCGCATGTCGTCTTGCCAGTCTCGACATAAGTACCATGCGATTTTATGAGTTCATACAATGTATTGTAAGGCGGTGTAAGGAAACATGATGATGTATAATGTATAGCGTAGAATCCGTATCGTATACTGCATCGTGTAACATGATACTGCATGGTGTATGATGGATATTCTATGATGTCATGTACTGTACGGCATTGTGAATGTAAAGTAATGTAAGGCAATGCAATGTAATGTACCATATTGTGAGGTAGTGTAAGGCAATGTGAGGTAATGTAAAGAAACTTAGTGAATGGAATGTAGTGCAAACTCTGGCAAAGTAAGGTACTGTAATGTAATCATTGTAACGTAGTGTATGTACATATGTAGCATATGCATTCATGTAAGCATGTGTCTGTCAGTATGTGTGTCTATGCATGGCTAGGCCGTTTGGGCTCTCTGCAGTCATGGAGGTCAAATGATTTGGTTATGACGATGATAGATAGCTACAACAACATAACGAAAGACCAATGCAACTACCAACACAAATACGCTCTCTGAGAAGCTGGTAAATTTCGCAGGTATGAACACAAACATTGTTATTTTATCGGCAGAGGCAGCACGTGGAGACAGAGACGGAGAGCGAGACAGAGAGAGAGAGGGAGAGGGAGAG